CAGCCTGTACCTGTGTAGGTTGGTTCACTGCCATCTTTGTTTTTCAAAGCAATCATACCGACAGATTTACTACATTTTTCCAGTCTTCCAACTTTGTTGACTTTTTTGTTATAAAAGGAAAAAAAACAAAAAATGAAAATTTTTGATAGTTGCCTAATTAGAGTGCACTAAGGGACTGCATACCTCCGCCCGCTACTCTGAAGTGAAACGCAACCTCGGAATTTCCTAAGAAATCCACTTTGCAATTCTTAAGCATAAAAGATTTCAGGCCCCCGCAAATTGAAATCGAATTGCTAATAGATCATATTACTCTTGTTGTATTGTACCATAGATATCTTATATACACTAGATAGTGCATCTAATTATTCTGCAATTCAAAAATTGAAGCCGTGATTGCAGACTCAGGATATTCCCATGAAATGAGAAGACTCGAATGTTTTCTATTTCTTAAACACGGAACTTAAACATTAAGTTAAACCTATTCCAAATACATTTTCAAACTATTCAAATGATGAAAGTTATTGTTGTTTTTTAAGCGTTTATTAGCGAGTGGGAAACTCCAACATGGCCGCCATCTATTCAAATGGGGGAAACCGCTGGAATATTCTTGGCTTCAATTTTACTAAAAGAGATGCGCTATCGAGTGTATACAGCTATTTCAATTAAGGTTGTAGTGGAAAAATCGAATACGAGCGCGAAAGCTAGGCTGCTGGGAATCGCTAATAAATGAATGAATTTATTAGCGATTCCCAGCAGCCGTTCGCGCTCGTATTCGACTTTTCCGCTTTGCTCGGGGGACAACTTTAATTGAAATAGCTGTGTAAGGTATCTATGTACTTGTAAAATAAAAAGTTATTAAGTGTCATCAAATAAATGCATAAATTTTGCTTTATGCACTCGCGTGTGCAGTAATTTTGACAGTTGTGCTATTTTAAATTCCCAGGCACCTAAAATCTTTTGTTCTTAAAACAATGTCGATTTCTTGGGAAATTCCGAGGTTGCGTTTTTTTTATACACCCTGTATTGAAGTAATCTGTTGTTATTAGAATTTAAATGGCCTAGCACTTTGCTGAACGTAATAATGCGTAACTTCGTAAGCCTTGCATGTTTTACACATTGAATTTCGGTCGCGTGAAATACAACTAAGACAATAGATATTATTATATATCAATAGTCAAAATCGCATTTTTCTAGTGTTTTATTGGTTGAGAGCATATCACGTGAGAGTGACGAAATTAGGCTGTCTCCCTCGCAACAGCGCGAGAGGGAAACAATACGTTATCGACCGGCGAATAACAAAAAAAATCACGTGCGCCATCACTGGAAGATGCGACCTTTGGACATGCCTAGTACGTAATTAAAACTTTCGCTTTAAGTAACTGCAGTGTAGCCAGTGTTTAATATAACGTTTTAACGATAAAATAGTTCATGTATTTACGTTTATTTGTTCTTTAATTTGTTGTTTCTTTCACTATTGATATATAATAAAACACTTATTTACTGAGACCTCGGGAAAGCAGTGTGTTTTGTGGACCCTCGACCGTCGATATTTCCCTCGGCTTCGTCTCGGGAACATCGACGGTCTCGGGTCCACAAAACACACTGTTTCCCTCGGTCTCAGTAAATAAGTGATAAATGACGGCTGAATCGTAATGAGGTTTATCATCTCATAATTGTCTTAGTCGCATTCGACGCGACCGAAAAAACATAAATTATTGCCAGCGTGTATATAAAATAATTAAGAAATTAGAATATATTTGTAAAGCACTCGATTTTAGAGCAGCCTCGCTTATCAATCATACCGACAATGAGAAATACAATTGTGCACAATCTAAAAAGATACCATTAATTACATTAGGGGCCATTCAAAAAAATGTCCGGCCAAATGATGGATTTTCAGACCCCCCTCCCCCCCTTGTCCGAATCACGTCATGCTATTCATAGAAAGAGACTTTGCGCCGTAGCGACAATATAATGACAAATGTAACTATTTCTTATGTAATTTGTAGCAAGTGACGTAATTGGATACCAATTAGTCAAGTTAATATTTTGATAAATTTATCTAAATTGGATATTCAGTGTAAATGGGCCGACTTTTATTATATAATGAGCAATATTGGCCCATATATTATCGCCACTCCTTTGCATAAACTTGAAAAGTTGTCACTGTTTTTTATTTTAAATATATCAATAGACAATATGAAATAAAGTACCTTGTCATGTGCATGTTTATTTGACGCAAATCGTTATATAAAAAATAAAAAAACCCGACTGACCGACCGACTTTTGGCAAAAGTAAAGGATGATCACCAACTATCTGGCCAAAACAGCGTGAGCCGGCGCGTTGTCATTAGTGACTAAAGTCTCCAGGTCGCACTTTTTAACCTGTGGTTACGCCTAGTTTATAACTATAAATGTATTGAAGGAAAGAATTAGATAATATTATTAGAAAATACATGCATGCAGAAACCCTCGCCTTGCTGACAAAACCATTGTATTTTCCGAACATGAAGTATCTAAAGTAGTTGTCATGGTAACACGATAATTTTTTAAGAATATTCTTACAAATAAAAAATCGCCTAAAAATATCATTTTTAATGGACCTTTCACCTTTTGACTAAAATTTAGATCTCAACAAGTCTAGACAAAAATTTTATCACAGCTTGAAAGAGCATCACCAAATTAGTAATATTCCAAAGTTTCATTGCGAAATGTTGTAAAATGCGGATAATATAGCCTTGCGAAGTTTGCCATTTTCAGTAATTTTGTATTACACGCGGGAAATACATACCTCCTTCGGAAAAAGGGTATGTATTTCCCGTTTGTAATACAAAATGACTGAAAATTGCAAACTTCGCAAGGCTATATTATCCGCATTTTACAACATTTCGCAACGAAACTTCGGAATATTACTAATTTTGTGATGCTCTTTCAAGCTGTGATAACATTTTTGTCTAGACTTGTTGAAATCTAAATTTTAGTCAAAAGGTGAAAGGTCCATTATAATATTATCAATTTCCCAACATATATATGTTAGGTATGTTATTATACGTAATAGGCTATAAGCTTCAGTTTAAAGTGCCCCTGACACAAAAATTTTTTTCAGTCTATTGAAAGTACTCGTTTAGTATAGTGTTCTGGCGAAAGAATTTTTCGATTTCATCAAAACGAAAAATTTTTAGAGCCGTTTGAACACGCAAAATTTGGGCTTTTGGTTGGCAGGCGCCCGTGTTCGAAGGAAACTGGAACGAGCGATTTTTGTTACGTCACGCAAGTGAGTCGGCGTACTCTATTTATATTCGACTGACTAGACTTGGCGCATATATATGTAGATTTGTGATAAAAAAAAATATGCCTTTTTACTGTGTCGCAGCTAACTGCACCAATAAAGCATGTTTAAAAGATGGAATAAGTCTACACACTATTCCATACTTCAATGATGAACGTGCGGATGCTAAAAGACGAAGAAAAGTATGGGTTGATTTTGTATCCGCAAAGTGTTTGTTTGTGCCGTCAAAGACTTCGACTATATTCTCGGATCATTTTAGACCAGAGGATTACGAGAGGCGATTTTTTTCGTTGCCGGGGCTCAGCAAGCCTAACTATCCGAAGCTAAAGACTGACGAGCTGAGAGTTTGCGTTTTCCCTACCATCATGCGAAGACGAAGGAAGTTGTGCTCGATAACCAGACGCAAAGTACGAGAAGCAAGCGATTGGTGTTTACGCGTGTTTTCCCATCAGATTGTATTTACTGTAGTATTATCAGGTGCTCCATGTCAGCTAGCAATTATATCGCTTCGTCTATTAATCTCTCTGTCTACAAGATTATAAGAAATATGGTTGACCAACCTGAAGATAGTTCGTTTATGTCACCGTTGACTGCCGAGAAAGCTTCGAAAACACCGAGGTCATCGAGAACGAAGACAAAGGATCAACCGGCCACGACAACCAACTCAGAAGAGATGTTGATTCCGTTTCCAGAAACTTTTGATGAGCTCGTAAGTAAAACATTGATAATTTCATTCAATAAATATCAATAGAGAATAATACATCAACATGGGTGTTCGGAAATACCAGATATATTTCGAGTGTTGAACGTAATATCTCAAATAGTGAAATATCATGTTCAACACGAGAAATAAATCTGGTATTTCCCAGCATCCATGTATTTTTCTGTTTATTATATAAAGGACAGTCTTTGAAAAGCGATATTTTTTACAGAAAAGCGATAATTGAAAAGCGATATAAATTTTCACGTGTGAAAATAGTCTCACATGTGAGTTTCACATGTAAGCACTATACTTTATATAATAAAATATGATAAATTTGTGAAAATATTTTTTCACGTATTCACAACAGTTTTTATACAATGCCAATGTCATGTTTTTGATTGCTTATGAACAGCAAAGTTCTACCGATGCAAATGACAGTCAAATAGACCAGTCCATGGAAGGAGATGACAAAGTTGATAGAGATGATTTGTTGATAGAGAGAAACAGAAGGTTGAAAAATAAAGTTATTTCTCTTCGAGCAAGCCAAAAAAAGGATAGAGAATTGAGAAATATGAAACGCAAAGTTGTGTGCAGCATTAGTAAACCAAGTAATTCAAATAAGAAAATATTGCCTGAAAAAATAAGTTTATAATGTACCAGCAGGTTGATGCATAGAGATGCCAATGGCCCAGCCTCCATGCAGCACGTGCCTGTTAGGTGTAACAGTCATGTTCATGGCATTTGGTCTGAAAAAATAATCTTTTGTCCAGCGGTGGGGCAACATAAAAAAGTGTGGGGATTTGCATGATGGGGAGAGGAGTTATCATTTCATTGAACAAATACAATAATCGTGTTATTTTCTACATTAATAATGCTCTATAGTAAACCTCCTTGAAGAACTGATTCGACATGACTCAACAGAAAGGAATGTGGAGGAAAAAAAAGTCCTGTGTACAGATGATGTTTGCATGGATGATTCAGATGACGAGGTTGAAAGTGAGATGGACCAACCATACGTCATGGAAATGGATGATACCTCTGCTTCTGAAGATCAAAATGACTTAGAAGATGAACCAGAAGCTCAGTAAGTAAACATGCAACAGTGAATTCTCAATTGTGTAGATGCAAACTAGTAAAAAGGGGAAAAGTAGTCTCTTTCTAGCTGGTATCATTGTAATTACCTCCCCAGAAGTCTTGGCAGATGAAGATTCCTTCCAACCGTAAAATTAAAAAAAGTGTTTTTACTTTATAGGTTGCCAACAATTGATGGAAATATCAGAACAGAACCAAAATTTATTGTGTTTTGGACACAATTCCTTCTACTCTTCAAATTCTGCCACTCCTGCAAGTCTGACAACCATTTGATCGAGACACAAAGGTTGTTGTAACCACAACATGCAGTAACCCCACATGCAATCAGAAGATTTCTAGTTGGCACAGTCTACCGAACATGCCCAATATGAAAATGTCTGCTGGAAACTTTCTTCTGTCCATGGCAACTTTGCTAGCTGGTGGATCAATGACAAAAGTTACACAAATGTTCTCACACATGGGTCTTTCATGTATTTGTTTGCGCACATACTTTCGTTGCCAGCGAGTAAGTATGGCCTCTTATGTGCACATATTTTACAAGTAGAATATATATTCTACTTGTAAAGGATTTGTGAAGGAATGGATGATGGAGACTAAACCATTGTATTGCATTTAATTAATAATTAATGAGTTTATATCTTCATTTGTAGAAACTGTTGTTTCCAGCTATATTTTTACATTGGAATAAATATCAAAAGAATTTACTGCAGAAAGCTAAGGAAGCAAAAGATGGTGTAGTCATTTCTGGGATGGACGTCATGATAGCATGGGCCATTCAGCAAAATTCTGTGCGTACACAATATTTTGCAGTACTTTTGCAAAAATTGTACACTTCGACCTTGTGCAGGTAAGTCATGCATGGCAGTGCATCAATATATGGAATGACCCAATCACCAGATACACCAACAGTACTTTATATACTGTATACAATATTTAGTGTCTGTTTCTGTATAACATTTACTAACTTGTATTCCCTTTTAATAAATCACAGAGAAACCAAGTATGGAATTCATGTGCTTTAAACTCTGCATGGACTACCTTATTGGATATGGAATTCGCATTACAACATTAATTTCTGACCGACATACCTCTATTGCCAAGTACATGAGAACAAAGTTGACGAACATTATTCATTACTTTGATATCTGGCATTTAAAGAAAAGTTAGTACCCAATGGTTGTTATTTCACTGAAAACACTAATCTGTGCAGTACTTCATGTAAGCTGATTTTTGTATCTGTGCAGTTGGAGATTTGGGGCATGCTTACATGGAGTATATAATAACCAATATCCTGGCTGATCCATATGTAATGTTTGTAATGTTAATCCTATCCTATCCTATCCTATCCAGTAGCATTGTTTGGTATCACCACTTACATCTGATATCAAATTTTCATTCTAGAAATCCGAAAGGTCCTGTCAAAAATTTCCAAGGAAAAAGACTTTGAAGAACTAAATGAGTGGATAAAACCTTGCGAAAATCACTTGCATTGGAGTGCAACATCCACTTTTGATGGTAACGGGCTTGTGATTTGAGCAAAATTTAAATCTTTCCTCAAGCATATTGTCAATAAGCACTCAAATCACAGTGATCCACTGTTTAATCAATGTGCTCATAAAGCCGACATTCCACCAAGGAAGTGGTTAACTGAAGGTGAGTAGAGAAAACCTGCCAACAAGAGATTATGGTTGGGTAACATGTCTTGTTTTATTAACCATGGAAACTGTATTCTTCAGGTTCACCATTGCATGAAAGAATTTCAAGTGCCCTAACAAACTCAAGGCTTGTCAAGGGGATTCAGCAAGCATCACCACTGGATCAGACCAGCTGTTTGGAAAGGTTCCACAGTGTTTTAAACCATTTTGCTCCAAAGATGATCGCATATAGCTATGTTGGACAATACTGTAGGTTAGTAATGAACCATAACTAATAGATTTGTTGTATGCTGTATATATTAGCCCTTTAAGTGGCAATGCGCCCTACTTTATTATTTTACTCTAACGCCAGAAAATTTTACTCATCAGTGGGAGAGTGCTGCCACTCAATGGGTTAATATTATACTTTACCTCAAATTTTCCAATGAGAAAAGTGCATTTGTACCGCTATGACGTGACCAATGAGAGTATATCACACACTATTGTGTGAGCAATGAAAAATGGCAGCAACGTACACACGATGTATGACAGGCAAAATTGTGTTGTTTTTAAGTGGATGTTCTTTTTTTAATATTTAGACATATATTGGCTGTCATGCACTTCAATTTTAATCTGCAACGAGAGAAGGACACAAAAAAGGCAGACAATCAAGGGAAAATAAAAATTACATACCCCAAATTCAAAAATGGCGAAGCAACAGTAAGGGATGTGAGAGTTACACCAAACTTTGGTACGTTTTTTTAAGTTTAGTTTAGTTAGTAAGTTTAGTTTATTTATTTCAATTATTACATAATTCTAGAAATTTGTTTTCTACTCAATTTAATAATTTTAATTCTCCTAAACCTTTTGTAGGATATGTCCAGTTGGTAGTTTTTTATCAATCAGTGTCAATAAATCCAGTAAGATCCTCCTTTTTTGCAACAGGAAATATGCTCCGTATCATTGTGTACGCACAAGATGGTAATGGTATCCTTCTGTTTCCAAGTAAGCCATATACCATTCTAGTAAATTCTCTATACGAGACACTCCGCAGGAAGCTAAAAACAAAAATATTGTATGAATATTATTATTCACTACACTTTACCATATTTTTTTCACTGTGTAGATGCCCGGCAGTCATTAACTAGTAATCATAATAAAAATAGCTCATATATCATTTTAGCAATATAAAAAGGTTATTTTGTAATGAATTTCAGTGAGTTTACTTTGTTATTGGCTCAGCGGCTAAATCATTCTGAAACGGTTGTGGGGGCAAACCCCCTCGATTCTGCTTCATGTTGTGACCAGTTTTAGCCCTCCTCAACCTTCATGGGTTGGAGGTTAGGGCTGGGGTCATGATTGGGACCAGATTATTTTTCAAATGTGACTTTAACTATAAATGCCAGACATATGTAGTACTACTACCCAGCTGCCGGGCATATAAACACAGGTTTTTTTTCATAGACATGTAATACCATTAGCATAAGTGCTACAAGTTGGCCATATTTTTTTGGTTTTTGCATGTCACTGGTTTTGTTTACAAACATGTGAAATTCACAATGGATTTGCCATTTTGCACTTTATAATTTTGAACTCTACATTCACTTCAGATAACATCAATGTAGTACCACTTTATATAATACCAAAAATATGCTGTAAAGACTGCCTTATTTTATATACACACAGACCTGTCTTCTGAATCCATCTGATGATATCTAGCTTTATTTTTGGTTTTGTACTTGTCTGCTGCCATTCGTAGACTCCATTTTTGCAGGCAAACTGGGTCAAAACCGGGATGTTCTGTGATGCATTTCAGACAAGCGTCTTGGCCAACATCATTGAGTACTTGCTCACTGACAAGTGCTTGTCCACATTCGTCGATCTCGCAGCAGCACAAACACTCATTGGGATTACTGAGAACATCCCTACTACAGTTTCCACATTTACACCTATATTGGTAAGAGAGTTTTAAACTAAAACAACAAAATATCGCGAAACTGGCATGAAATATTAAATAGATTGAAATTTATATATTTGTAAGCATAAAATTATAAAATCAAGAGTTCAAAACAGGTTTTGGCCAATGGCCCAATATAATTAATATTTGTCTTACCATTCACTAATTTCCAAGGAGCCGTCAAACCTTTTACGCAAATTTTCTTCATATTGTATACGTTCATTCTCTGCCTTTTGGTAATTTCGTATCCATTCCTCATCAGCCAAAGGCTCTTCGGAATATGCCAAACCGAGCACATTTTC